ATTGACCTTTGACCTGTGACCTCCAATTTCGGCACAGTGATGGCTTTTCCTACCATTATGCTATACACCGACTATCACGAGCCTAGGTCGAGCCGTTTAGAATTGTGCCGCAATTCTGCATTTCCTCTCTATACCTTAAGTTAAGGAGTGAATGTTCCCCCTTCTTTTACACCTCTTGACCTTTGACCCCCAGCTTCGACATCCCAACTCGTTTTGACGATCCCCCCCGATGTGCCGAATATCGTGACCGTACGTCGAGCGGTTAAGATTTGTGCCCAACTGTTGACGCACGCACGCACGGACACACGGACGGACGCACGATCATGCGATTCTACAAGCTGCATCTGACTATGTCAGATGAGCTAAAAATAGGTAAAACAAATTATTGAAAGCTCTAAATGGTATACACGTACAGATTATTGGTTCATGCCTCATGCATGTATTGTTATACTAGTTTGGCCTGCAGTCGCTCACTCCTTTCAAAATCAGTCCGTTTTAACGACATTGCTACCTGTTCCTGTCTTTACATTCTCATACATATTATTGTAGTTTCCTACTATAGTTGGCACTCACCTCTTCTGGATAAACTCTTGGTGGCTCTTGAGCAGGTATTCAGTTAATCCTATAGGCATATCCCGCAGGTCATAGATGATATCTGAAGTGTTGGTCACCCAACGAGGTGGCACGTAGCCAGTTGCTCCAACTGGACATGACTGCCCGAGGAAGACTCAGGTCAACACGCGTGCACACAGTCAGTGGCCAATTTATGCAGACCGCATTTACACTGTATTCTCATGCACTGTGCAGTTGATATACATGCACACGTGATGCCGTTCTATGTGCACCAAATGCAAGTTCAGACTATTACTGAGAAATGTTTTAATTTGCCCCTAGTTTCGTCTTAATAAAATGTTTCTTAGCACAAGGAGTTAAAACCACAACATACCCCTAGCTTCTAATTGACTTGAACACCTTCAGACATACTCAACTACATGTTCTAGCGTGTGTGCATTTCTTTCACGCCTAAAACGCGAGTGTTTTGCTTAAATAAAATAGCAAGTCTGCTGTTCATTATCAGACATATTTGAGGAATCTTACCTGGACTCCAGATTTACAAGAGCAATCTTTCTCCTCAGCATATTTGGCCTTGTCCTCCTTGCTCATATAATCCAAACTGAAGCCCTTTTCACCACTGTACTCACACTCATATGCACCCCTAGACAAACAGAGTATTAGGTAACATGGGAGTGGCAGCAGCACGCCTGAAACATGGGAATGTCCCTGTTGTCTGCTAAGAAAATTACCAACCCTTGGTGTTCTGTGACTGTGGGTTATTGTTGGTAGTAGTAATCACAGTCAGCGCCACCATTACATTATTTCTAGTACAACACATATTATTTACATAACCTAAAACACGTCAAAAACAGCAACAAACATATACCTTTCTGGAAAATCGTTTAGACAGGAGGTGCTGACACCTGGCGGGTGCAGCAGTGAGTTGAGCAGGCGGTCGGCGTCGTCAGCACCATGCTGCGCGTCGTCGTAGGCGATGAACGACGCGGCACGCGGACCGTAGATGGCTGGCAGCAGCACGATGGAGGGCTGGTCGCCAACGATCGGCTTGATGACGGTGAAGCCCATCGCAACGGCGAGGAAGATGCAGGGCAGCAGGAAGATCAGGAGAAAGTACTTCCAGTTCCTGCGGGAGTGGTGCAGGCGCTTGACGAGGAGAGCATGCAGTTGCATGACGAGCATCAGGAGGCCGGTGTAGCGCTCCTTCCCGGTCAGATCGCCCTGAGCTGTGTGGGAAAATGCATGACATCATCAGTCGGGTATCACCATACTCTTAACTGGGAGTCTATAAAGACTGAACAAAGCCAAGATGACTGGAGCATCAGGAGGCTGGTGTATTGCTCCTTCCCGGTCAGATCGCCCTGAGCTGTGTGGGAAAATACATGATATCATCACTCGGGTATCATCCACACACCAGCCGGAAGATTCCAAAGATAGAACAAAGGCGAGATCGCTGGAGCGTTTCTGTAGATGTCATGAAAAGTTAAATGTAGATGAATTACACTGAATGGAGTACCGGGCCAAAACGAACTGAACTGTGGAATCTATGCAGCCACACCACACACATTCACACGACTAAAAACAACAAAGATCTCTTAGAGAATAGCCGGGGGCAATATTTGCGACTATGCTATCTAGTGTACGCTATTAACGCTAATGCTGAAGATTAAGGATGTCGCGTGCCGCCTTCCACTGCGATGGTTACCGTTGAGGTTGCGAGACTCGGTTGCGTCGTCTGTGTTGCGCAGGTGCCGTACCATCTGATAGTTGTTCTTGCTACCAGTCATCGGCAAGCCTTCGTCCGCCTGCTCACAAAGAGTCAGGAACACCTGAAAACACAACGCACGCAAGGTCATTGCGAAGGTCGTACACGTTTTTTATTTTTATTTTAACTCCCTAGCAGCAGGTGTAAGTGCACTCAGCTAAAACCCACGTGGCTATGAATATTAACATTCCCGGCATGTTTCTTGCATGTTTCATGCATAAATAATAGAATATAATACCCTGACCAGACAGGTATTTTTGTGACTGTTTTGCACATAAAACGTGAATGATTATTATGCATAAATTTTCATGTACCAAAAGTGAAACCGCTTTCGTCCAAGAAACTCATGCAAAATGGAAATTAATGGGTGATACATAAACAGTATATTCTCTGGAACCTGCCACCCATAAAATAATCTATGGACAATTCTACGTATGCGCCATAAAAATTCCTAAACATGAACAGGACATTTCCTTTAATTATTATGCATGTTTTTTTCCCAAGCGTGCTACTAACCTCCTCTAGTGTGGTGCCAGAGATGCCGTAGCTCTCAATGCAGAGGGCGCTTGCATTAGTGTCCAGGGCATTGAACAGTTGGTGGTAACGGCGGACATCGTCGTCGTCGTTCGGCAGCAGCAGTAGCGCCTCCTGCTGGAGATCTTCCACGAGCTGGGCGTTGGCGATATGTCGTCGCACCAATCCTAGCACCCGCTTCACATCAAACGCACCTGCAATGATTCGCACCAGTATACTATTATAACTAGTATATTATTATTCTTATGATTCTTATACTAGTAGTTATAATAATAATAAGTATATAAAATTATATATTATATATTACGATGGAGATGCTCCATGTGTTTATATATATATATATATATATATTATATATCATTAAAATCAACATATCGAATTTATCGCACAGAGCCAATATAGTGCTCTATGATATGTACTACATGGTAATTTTTAGGAATGAATGTTGAAAGTGCACCAGAAAAATATGGCCTTTCGCAGTTGCGAACAGTGTGCACAGATTTTTGCACAACTAATTGGTAATTTTACCTAGTTCTTATCTGATAGTTCTCATTATCAGCACATTGCCTATAATTTCCAGGTTGAATCACAATAAAAAATTTACATAGTACAAAACAGGCTTAACAATGCCTTACTTCTACCAGCAGGGTTGTGAAGGTTAGAACATGTGCCAAACCCTCTGCCCTCCAAAGTCTTGCGTATGGTCAGCTGATACCCACTGCCAAGCTTACTCTTCAGATATAACGACGATCCACAAGCCAACAGCTTGCCCTGTAACATGCGGTTATTTATTACAAGTATGTCCAATAATACACTACTGATGTCGAATCCACTTTCAGAGAAAAAACACAAAATAAAAATGAATTTTTTCCTCACAAAATTTTGATTGTGCCAACAGATGTCAACAAAATATTCATAAGTCATGAATCATAATTTGTCTACAAACAAGTCATGAGACTGTGAAATATCAGCGGTGGTTAGATAATGTATTTGAAGGAGCACCTGGTGTATGATCGCTACTCTGTCGCTCATAATATCTGCTTCATCAAGGTGGTGTGTTGATAGGACAATAGTACGCCCTGCATGGAAAGTGAATGACGAAAGATTAGAGGTGGGTTCACACAAAATCTCTTAACTAACCTAAATAGAGACATAAATGAATCATTCAATAGGTTGGTTCTATCCTCCCTCCTCCGTAGCTGCTTGCTAGCCTGTCAATCACGTACGAATCCTCCTCACATGCCTTAATACAGCTGTTAGTTGTTCTCAAAACTGCTAACTGTTCATTCACTGAGCTTCCCCATAGCTGCTGCCTCGCTCTTCTTTCACGACGCTTCTCCATAGCTGCTGCTAACTCATTCTTCACACAGACAACCTTCACATAAGTGCCACCTACTATTCCTTCCTGCTACGCTCACCTTCTCCATAGCTGCTGCTAACTCATTCTTCACACAGACAACCTTCACATAAGTGCCACCTACTATTCCTTCCTGCTACGCTCACCTTCTCCATAGCTGATGCTAACTCATTCTTCACACAGACAACCTTCACATAAGTGCCACCTACTATTCCTTCCTGCTACGCTCACCTTCTCCATAGCTGATGCTAACTCATTCTTCACACAGACAACCTTCACATAAGTGCCACCTACTATTCCTTCCTGCTACGCTCACCTTCTCCATAGCTGCTGCTAAACTCATCCTGCACACACACAACTCAACCTTCCCGCTAAGGCCACCGTACTATTCCTTCTGCACGCTCACCTTCTCCATAGCTGCTGCTAACCATTCTTACAGCACACACAACCTTCCCGTAAGTGCCACGCTACTTATTCCTTCCTGCTCACGCTCACCTTCTCCATAGCGTGCTGCTACTCATCTTCACACACTCATCCGAGTGGAGGCCTACTGGCCGTCTGCTGTCGCCCGGCACGGGAGAGGTGTCTCCATGCTGTTCGCAAGGGATCGGATTACACAAAACCTTCCCGTAAGTCGGCCACTAACTATCCTTCCTGCTACGCTCACCTTCTCCATAGCTGCTGCTAACTCATTCTTTCACACACGACAACCTTCACCGTAAGTGCGCACCTACTATCCTTCTGCTATGCTCACCTTCTCCATAGCTGCTGCTAACTCATTCTTCACACACACAACCTTCACGTAAGTGCCACCTACCTATTCCTTCCTGCTACGCTCACCTTCTCCATAGCTGATGCTACTCATTCTATCACACAGCACACCTTCCAGTAAGTGCCACCTACTATTCCTTCCTGCTACGCTCACCTTCTCCATAGCTGATGCTAACTCATTCTTCACACACAGCACAACCTTCACATAAGTGCCACCTACTATTCCTTCCTGCTACGCTCACCTTCTCCATAGCTGCTGCTAACTCATTCTTCACACACGACACACTTCCGTAAGTGCACCTACTATTCCTTCCTGCTACGCTCACTTCTCCATAGCTGCTGCTAACTCATTCTTCACACAGACAACTTCCCATAGTGCCACCTACTATTCCTTCCTGCTACGCTCACCTTCTCCATAGCTGATGCTAACTCATCTCTTCACACACACAACCTTCACGTAGTGCCACCTACTATTCTCTTCCTGCTACGCTCAACCTTCTCCATAGCTGATGCTACTCATTCTTCACACAGCAACAACCTTCACGTAAGTGCCACCTACTATTCCTTCCTGCTACGCTCACCTTCTCCATAGCTGCTGCTAATCTTCATTCTTCACACACACAACACTTCACCTGTAAGTGCCACCTACTATTCCTTCCTGCTACGCTCACCTCTCCATAGCTGCTGCTATACTCATTCTTCACATCAGACAACCTTCCACGTAAGTGGCACCTACTATTCCTTCTGCTACGCTCACTTCTCCATAGCTGCATGCTAACTCATTCTTCACACACGACAACCTTCACATAAGTGCCACCTACTATTCCTTCCTGCTACTACGCTCACCTTCTCCATAGCTGCTGTCTAACTCATTCTTCACACAGACAACCTTCACGTAAGTGCACCTACTATTCTTCCTGCTATGCTCACCTTCTCCATAGCTGCTGCTAACTCATTCTTCACACACAACAACCTTCACGTAAGTGCCACCTATATCCTTCCTGCTACGCTCACCTTCTCCATAGCTGCTGCTAACTCATTCTTCACACACACACACCTTCCGTAAGTGCACCTACTATTCCTTCCTGCTACGCTCACCTTCTCCGCATAGCTGCTGCTAACTCATTCTTCACACACACAACCTTCACGTCAAGTGCCCTACTATTCCTTCCTGCTACGCTCACTCTCTCATCATAGCTGTGCTAACTCATTCTTCACACACACAAACCTTCACGATAAGTGCCACTACTATTCCTTCCTGCTACGCTCACCTTCTCCATAGCTGCTGCTAACTCATTCTTCACACACAACAGACCTTCCGTAAGTGCCACCTACTATTCCTTCCTGCTACGTCTCACCTTCTCCATAGCTGCTGCTAACTCATTCTTCACCACAGACAACCTTCACGTAAGTGCACGCTACTATTCCTTCCTGCTACGCTCACTCTCATAGCTGAATGGCTAACGTCATTCTCTACACAGACAACCCT